GCATATAACGATTTTATAGTACAGAAAGTTAAATTTTTAGGGACTTTTGGTATGGTAGGTACCTGAAATATGGGCCAACAACTAAATTACAACACCTATTACTATCTTCGCCCAAATTTGATGTAATTTGGACGAAGAGATGAAAATTTTCGTGGAATTTGGATGAATATAAACAATTTATAGGTCCAAAAATCGGATTTTTCAAGACCCTTTGTATGGGAGGTAAATCAAATATTGGTCTGGTCTACCCAGTTTTTGGTCCGTTGCTTTATAGGCATAAGTAAATGTAAATTGCCAATTTTCATTGAATTTAGTTGAATATTAAAGATTTTATAGTCCAAAATAGTAAAGTTTTCAAGACCCTTTGTATGGGAGGTATATCAAATCATGGTCCGATCTACCCAGTTTTTGGTCAGTTGCTTTATAGGCATAAGTAAATGTAAATTGCCAATTTGCATTGAATTTGTTTGAATATTGAAGATTTTATAGGCCAAAAAGGGTGACATTCTCAAGACCCATTATATGGGAGGTATACCAAATCTTGGTCCGACCTATCTAATTTTTTGTCAGTTGCTTTTTAGACCAATAATAAGCACGTGTACCAAATTTCATTAACTTACGATAACTCCTTCTATTTTTGGCCGCTGTTTATATGAACTCGCGACATAGTGCGTCGGATTGAGATATGTAGGTAATTTTGGACATTTTTTGCTTATGTGCACGAAAAGTACTAAATCGTACTATAATTGGTACAATTTCGATTTGGGTGAACCGAACACTCGAACACTGAAATTTGGAAATACTGCTGGAGTGTAGGATTGGGGTATTGATTTAGTTTAGGAAATCCATACTTATGGCTACTAATGGGTACTAAATTAGGTACAATTTGAATTTGGGTGAACCGATAGAGCTGGAATCCTGAAATTTAGAGTTTGGATAACTGTTGGGCTGTAGTATTGAGGTTTGTAGGAAGTTTTGAACATTTGTACTAATGTGTAATATATATTTGGTACAAATTGATTTTATTGTGAAACGATAGAGCTGGAATCTTTAAATTTGGAGCTATGATCATTGTTTTGGAAATTCATACCTACTTACTTAGCTGGGTTGTGACAGAACTTTCGTTTTAAAAGTCGAGCTTAAAAAGAGTTCCAGACCCGACGGTCTTTTGCCATTGTTCCAATTTGAAAGACCCTGTTCGGCAATATTGTCTTCCACTTGATCTTTACATCTAATTCGTGACCTCCCCCGTCTGCGTGAACCATCAGCTGTTTCGCTTTTATTTGCGTTTTGGGATGGGGCATCTTCGTCCATTCTCACAACTTGACCTAGCCAACGTAGTCGCTGCATCTCAAATCGTCTAACAATACCGATGTTTGAGAAAAGCTGGTAAAACTCATGGTTCATCGACGGCGAATATCACTGTCAAGGCAGATCGGTCCATAGATCTTTCGGAGAATATTTCTCTCAAACACTCCATGAGCTGCCTCATCTGCTTGCGCAAATACCCATGCTTCCGATCCATATAACAGCACGGGTGGTATCAGCGTGGCCTTATTTCTAAACTGCTTACTTAGACCATAGCAGCATCTGTTGGCCAAAACTATCCTTCTCCGAATTTCAAAACCTATGTCATTAGGTAAATAAAATCTTTGACTACCTGGAGCGGTAGTTCTCAAGTTCCACAGTTGGTCCGAGTCTATTTGACGTCTTGTGCGTTGATACCATCAGCTTGGTCTTCTCTCCGTTTATTGCCCAGACCCACTTCGGCAGACTCTTTTTCAAATTGTTCAAAGTTGGCTGTAACCGCTCTCAATGTTCGACACATTATGTCGATGTCATCGACGTAGGCGAGAAACATGTATTGTTTGGTGTACAGAGTGCCATTTCTGTTAAACTTTGTCTCTCGTGTTAATGTGTTATTAAGTTGGTACAAATTGGATTTGATGAATCAATAGGGCATGAATCTTAAAATTTAGAGATAGGTTTAGGATGTATTGAAAATTCATGCTAATGTGTACTAGAGCTTGAATCTTGAAATTTAGATTAAGGATAACTGTTGGGGTGTAGAATTGGGATATGTAGGAAGTTTTTTCAAACTTTGAATGTGTTTTAAATTAAATGTTTTGGTTTTAACTGAAGCATGGAATTAGTTTTGGAAATAAGTACTACGACAGAACGAAAGGTAACTTATGGCACTAAAATTACTGCGGTCAGTGTTGGTGTAAGTGTTGAGATATGGAACGAGTTTTGGAAATATGTACGTATTATAAGAGAACAAAGGAACTAAATGATACTAAAATTTTAGTTATAGTCCATATTGGTGTGATATATGCAGTTTTCGCTAACATATGCTAGTCTTTAAAATTTCTAGTTATTTCCGATCGAAGTCCTGTCCACTCTTTATAAAATTTATATTAGATGTACCCAATTGTTTAGGTGAAGTGCTCATTGAGATTGTGTTTTACTTTAGGTGGCCTGAACACAGGGGGACTTCATTATTTATGTGGTCTGAATTCAGGACAAGGAGTCATAATTTGTGTTAGCTAAACGCAGGAAGTGCCTCGGAATGTTGTTGAACTGAACGCAGATAGAACGCCATTATTTAGATAAGCTGAACGCTGGGAGAACACCATTATTTAGTTGAACGCAGAACATCGTTATTTTAATATTATCTTTATTTGTTTTAGAGCTGGATATTGCGGGTCTTTTAAAGACTAGCAAAAGTGTGACTTTTTATAGAATTTTTTGTGGATTTTTTCTTTACAAAAAATATTCCTAATATAGGTCCATGTTTTTACATAGCTCTTATATATAGGTTCCAACCCATTTCGCGATTTTTAAATGTTTTAACCTCAGATGGTCAATATGAAGGAATACGAAATACCTAATGACAATTCCTTCGATTTGAACTGTAATAAGGTACTTCGTATTCGGATAATTCTTCCTCGAGAAGAATTTATAGTTCCATTTGTTGATATATTTTCTGTATATTGAAGTTGCAACCTAGATTTTCAACCGTAGTTCTTGCAATTTTGTCAGAGCATAAAACAATTATTACCTGGCCTCAAAGTATATTTAATTAGGCGTATGCATGAATTACAATCAAGTTTATGCTTGAATTAGGTGTATGCCAATGCCTGACATAAAGGTTTACGGACGGAGCCGACCATATGATATCCTACACAACTTCCATGAACATCTAACTTTCTGTGTTTCTATATTCTGAGATTGGGCAATAATTCGCGATATTTGCACACTTTTGACTGGCTAGAGGTCAGAAAATGTTACTAATATACAGTACAGCATCTCTAATTACTTGTCCAGATTCCCTTCACCATGGGTTGTGTTGTGACGTTCGGCTTTCGACACGAAAAGTGAAAATAATTAAGTTTTCGGTCCAATTCATCCGAAAAATTATTATCTGATCGTTGTCCTTGACCATAACTGGAACCTAATGGAACATTTCAAAGCGATCAGGCTATATATCCTTTAGGGCGGATAGGTAACTAAATAATATATAAATACGTAAGCACCTGTAAATATTTAAGTGTAACTCCCGCATCCGAGTACCTACGACAATATGGTTGGTATTAATTTAATGGTCAACCACTCCCCTTGGATATACTATCTGTCTCGGGTCTATGTCCTTCAGGAGTAAATATATACGCCATAGAATACAAATTTTGTAATTTTTCACACAAAAGTCAGGGTCCATTTGACCCGCTAAATATTGACCGATCTTTATCAAAACAAGTATGCTTATTCTATGTTCCGATCCCCTTCTCCATGTAAAAATTCGAGATGTTTGGGTCATAATTACCAATACTTCGCGTCGTTACAAACTCTTGGGGCTGCACAAAGATATAATACCCTGACAACATAGTTGTGTAGGGTATAAAAAGTACTTAGGTACTTACTATATATACAGCCATTTTAATTTTTCGAGTGATGACATATCGCTCATTTGTTGCGAGATTTTGCAGAAAATGCGTTTTAAGTTTTCAATTTACTCACACCCTACAAGGAACAGAGGAACTTCTACAGCTTCTCAATCAGTGTGTTCAACCGTTTGAGCCCCGAATTTTTTTCCGCAATCTTAGAACTAATTTCCGTTCACAGATTTAATGCAACTATTCTTAATAGGATATGCACAAAATCTGGCATCGCTACATCCTTGGACTGTATACACAAAATAATACTGTACACAAATTTACGATCTTCTCTATATTGAATGGCTCATAACTTTACCAAAATTTTGAATTTGTTTCGATTTTTCTTTAGATATGTGTCGTCCATAATCAAGTCTTGACATATGAAATCCAAATAATATAGATCTACTAGCTTCATATTAAATATAAGCTCTAAAAAATTTTGTTGCCTGTGGGCAACATTGGGCCACAAAGGGTTAAGATATATTCATTTGACTTTTTTACACAACATGATCAGACTTCATTGCGAACAATTTTACGTCATTAACTCAAAAATCACGATTTATGATGTATGCCTGTCTTGCAGCAAATGAGCGATATCTATTTTCAGTTTCACTCGAAATTAAAAAGTAATCCCCTTATAATTGGCCATAAAAATGTGCAACTTATTTAAACAAGAACCAAAACCAACCAAGTTAAGTAAATATTCGAAATGTGTAATAAGTTATTAGCCATTATGTGGATGCATTCTCAGTTGAGGTGTGAAAACAAATTATGTTTCAATATTTAAGTTAAACAGAAAATCACAAACCGCAAAAAAACCGCCCACTCTCTTTTCAAATAATCGAACGGAGTTAAAAGATATTTTAACGATCAAAGGCAAAATTCAAAGGAAACCACAAAAACAATGATTTCATTTTGTCAACTAAAATGGGGATTTTTTTCTGAGCAGTATAAAATCTTCCTTGTTTTCTGTTGAAAATATTAGTTGCTCAAATTCGTTCTTTGGAAGAACATAATTCGCATAGAATTATTTTGGGATTTAGTAATTCAAAATTATTTTCGAAAATGAAGTTCTACATTTGTGTAATTACTCTGCTCAGTGCTATGTTCGTGCCTTCACAGGCAACATTCGATTTAATCGCTAGTGTACCTTCGGCAGGAGGATATGGTGCAGGTTATGGAGGCGGTTATGGCTATGGAGGTGGTTACGGCTATGGTACTGGTGGTTATGGTGCCAACTATGGCAGTGGTTATTATGGCGGTTATGGTCCCAGCTATGGCAGTAATGTTAAAGTTGTTAAGGTAACTGTAGTTCCAAGCGTTGCGGGTGGTTCCTATGGAGCCGGTACATATGGTGCTGGAGCTTATGGAACGTTTGGTAATGGTTATGCCGCTGCTGTGACTCCTGTAGCCGCTGTTACCACACCTGTTGTTACCGCCGTTACAACGCCCGTTGTCACCTCAACTGTTGGCGCTGGTTATGGAACTGGATCATTCGGTACTGGATCTTATGGTTATGGCAGCAATATTCTTCCTGCATACGGTGGTTACGCAGCTGGCTATGGTAATAGTTTTGGATCAGGTTATGGAGGAGCTGTTGACTGTTTTTAAAAAATATATATTTTTAAATGTAACTAATTTTTCATAACCTTGAAATTTGTTTAATAAATCCTATTTTATACAATACTATATTTTGACAGAGGTCTTTACATATTCATTAGGGCCCCAAAATCATATAGGACCATATATGTGTTACCACTTTGGATGTATATCCATTCATAATAAATATTAAAATCCGAATAAGCTAAATCTTCTGTTGTTATGTTTAAATCTAAACAGATTTTAGTAAAAACCGTACACATTGTCCTGTACTAAATTTGATAGTACATTAGTCCATAATTTACGCATCGGAATTTTACGAATCAGAACCAAACTTGTCATATTACACACATTTTCATATACATGAAAATCTATACCGAATATTAATGATTTCCAAGATTCGTAGACCTGTACTTTGATTAATAGAACACATGGACCAGCAAATCGAGTTCCGTCAAAATTTCCAATTGTCGGTGAACTAAACTCCGAACTTTCGGAAACCTTTGCGAGAGATCATATATTGCAGCTTCGCCGTCACCAATTGCTGTGCCTTCTACGAAGCAACCGAACAAGTTAGCGATCACATTAACCTTTCGCAAATAGTTGCAACAGATCTGAGGGTCTCATTCTTTTCACAGCCGGTGATTGAGTTTAAGTTCAGCTCCCAAAATTGGCGGAAGCTTTCGAACTCGGCACTGCTGTCACGGGCACATACTGTTTCGCTTTCTCTGGGTTTGTTCTCCTAATGGCGGATGCGTCATGATCGTTTTAATCCTTTCTACGAGCCTTCCACCTGCACGATAAAGATCATATGTCAACCAGACCTTCGTACTGGTTGATGGTGCCAAATATTATACGTCATTTAAGGTAATTGGCTCTATTTCTCAATCTCTTTCCCCGAGGCGGGATTAAAATAAGCCCGAAGTAAAGAACCGTCGTGAGCCTTTATAGAAAAGTGTTGAAACCTAGAAAAGCGTCAAGGTTTATATCGAAAGCAGCAGCAAAGGCCGGAACTTACTCCGGATCGCCAAAACCTGTCAACCCCAGTTCCTGTAAAACCAACAACCGCACCGGAGCAGTAGCAGCAGACGTTGTAGACTTTAATAAATTTAAGTATATAAAAAAAAGGTATTGCTCGACGATCATTTGAAAATTGGCTCTAGGGTTTGATGGCAAACTTTTTGGTAATTTGTTTCCCAAAAGACTGCTGTGTCATAATAACAATTACAGAATTATTTTACTGGCCCTACACAATTTAGACAACCTTTTGCCTTCCCTCGCACTGGTTGATAGTGGCAAATAGCTCTTGTCATCCAGAGATCTCCTCGACAGTCCGGTGCTGGTATATCACTCCAGTTTACAATCAGTCTCCTCCACAGACGGGAATCAACTTGGGACATCCTCATCAGTTTACAGTTCACTTTTCAAGAATGCATTTTAGTGGTCCTTTGTCTGCACGCCCTTTTCTTCTCTTGCACTGGAAATAACTCTTGTCAATCAGGGATCTCCTCTAGGGTTCTGAATTAGAAAAGGTATTTATATTAATGTTACTTTCAGTATCCTCCCCCAATAGCGGTTGACTTGAGACATCGTAATCAGAGAAATTCGGCTTTGCAATCGTCAGCATTGAGCTGGGCTCTCCAAGTCCATTATTACCTCCCGTCTTTCTCACTTCTTGCAATAATTCGACTTTATTTGATCAGTCAACTCTATTACCGCAGTGTCAAACCCAGAGCCATGACGTCGTCCTAGCTTGTCAAGGGAGATTTATCCCAGAGTTAGGTTTAAATGAGTTATTGGATAAGACGGATAGACTCACATTTATCTAGCGTTAGAGACGTTATTTTAGTTGGAAAGCGACTTATTACCTTATGTGGACGCCAATTCATCCTCGACAGTCTTGGGATCATAAACATTCAATTCGCACCCAGCCAATAAATTTTATTGAGGTCCCCACTACCAGCAATCTGAAGACATTAGGGAAGAAATTCGGCTTTGCAATCGTCAGCATTGAGCTGGGCTCTCCAAGTCCATTATTACCTCCCGTCTTTCTAACTTCTTGCAATAATTCGACTTTATTTGATCAGTCAACTCTATTACCGCAGTGTCAAACCCAGAGCCATGAGGTCGTCCTAGCTTGTCAAGGGAGATTTATCCCAGAGTTAGGTTTAAAGGTTAGGTTTAGAGTTAGGTTTAAAGGTTAGGTTAGGTCACATTTATCTAGCGTTAGAGACGTTATTTTAGTTGGAAAGCGACTTATTACCTTATGTGGACGCCAATTCATCCTCGACAGTCTTGGGATCATAAACATTCAATTCGCACCCAGCCAATAAATTTTATTGAGGTCCCCACTACCAGCAATCTGAAGACATTAGGGAAATCATATTAATTTGTATGTGGCCTAAGACCTTAAAAAGCTTGCAACCTATGGACATTAGGTCACTTTTATTTGGAAGTGACCTAAGGCCGTATAAAGATTATGGGCGCCAATTCGAATCTACAATATTGGGAACATATGCAGTCACTTATTTCCTCAATGGCACTGTCCGTTCATTGTCCACGACTGGTTATTTAATTTGCTGCTAGCTAAAGAATTTTACTGCGATTTTCACTATCCACCAACTGTGAATATCTAATTGTCAAATAGTCGACATATTTAATTCCATTTTAGAAAAAGAGACTTCAAACAAGATCTTCTCACAATCAAAAACAAAATGTTCAACATTAATTATTATTTTTTTTTATTATTATTCAATAATTTGTAAACATTAACAACAATTAAGGGCTTCGGAATATTCGTGGAAAATTTTGAAAATCGATTCTTTATTTAAAAGCATCCAGCAGCTGCTCCATAACCTTGTCCAAAGGTGTTGCCATAACCATAAGAAGGAATAATATTTCCGCCATAACCATATGATCCAGCACCATAAGATCCAACACCATATGAACCGACACCGGCATATGCGCCAACAGTTGAGGTAACGACAGGGGTAGTAACGGCAGTAACGACCGGTGTAGTGACGGCAGCAGTTACAGGAGCCACAGCAGCACCATAACCATAAGATCCAACACCATACGAACCAGCACCATATGAACCAACACCATACGATCCTGCACCATAAGATCCAGCTGAGAATGAGCCACTTGGAACTACAGTCAACTTGACAACTTTAACATTATTGCCATAGCTGGGACCATAACTGCCATAATTGCCACCATAACTTCCGCCGCCATATCCAGCACTATAGCCTCCACCATAACCAGCACCATAACCTCCACCATATCCAGCACTATAGCCGCCAGCATACCCTCCTGCCGAAGGTACACTGGCAATTACATCAAATGTGGCCTGTGAAGGTTCCAACAAGGCAACAACCAAAGAAAGAACGCAAACGAAGAATTTCATTTTTAAAATATGGTGTAGGTTTAAAATCTATATCTCTCCTTTGGATTCCGCTGTGTTCTTCCAATGATAGAACACAAACGACTAATGACATTAATGAAACATAAGGATGATTTTATAGTACAAATTAATGATTTTCAAATGTCGCTTGACAATAAGGAATCATTGTTTCAAAAAAAATATTTTTGTTCCGCTCGCATTTTGTCCACTATAGTTAAAATTTAGTTGTACACATCCGTTAATACTAGTACGCAGTACGCATTTTTTGTTTAATTTTGTGGTTAACTAAAATATTGAAACATAGAAATTCGCACCTTAACTTTTAATTCATAATCACTCGGCCATGCAAGCTACTAAGTTATTAAAATTGCGCGAAGAATGATTGTTTATACCCTTCCCCACAGGGTACATTGTATTATATCATCATTGTGCATAAAAAAGAAAACGAGATAGACACATGGTTTCTTTTGAGAATATGCATAGAATCTCTTTTTAAGTCGATTTATGCATGTCCGTCTATCCATATATCTGCCATGTTGAATTGAAAACAAAGTACATGTCGCATTTTTGATTCGAATTGGATAAAATTTGCCACAGCTCATTTATTTGGTCCAAGGATGGACCCTATTCGGAAAAATCGGTTCAGATTTAGATATAGCTCCCACAAATATTTTTGTCCGATTTAATGTAAGTTGTGCACCAAAGTACCCATATATATTTTTCGATTTGCACGAAATTTGGCATAGTTTACTGAATTAGGTCTAGAATAATGTGTGTCAAGTTTCCTGAAAATCGGTTCAGATTTAGATATAGCTCCCATATATATTTTCGTCCGATTTAATGTAAATGGTGCACCAAAGTCCCTATATATATTTCCATTTCACGAAATTTGGCACAGTGTAATGTATTAGGTCTAGAATGATGTGTGTTAAGTATCCTGAAAATCGGTTCAGATTTAGATATAGCTCCCATATATATTTTCGTCCGATTTAATGTAAATAGTGTACCAAAGTCCCTAAATATATTTCGATATGCACGAAATTTGGCATAGCGTACTTAATTAAGTCCAAAATGATATGTGCTAAGCTTCTTGGATTCAGATTTACATATAACTCCCATATATATTTTCGTCCGATTTAATGTAAATTGTTAACCGAAGTCCCTATATATCTTCGATATGCACGAAATTTAGTATAGCGCACTGAATTAAGTCTAGAATGAGGTGTGTTAAGTTTCGTGAATATCGGTTCAGATTTAGATATAGCTCCCATATATATTTTCGTCCGATTTAATGTAAATATATATATCCCTATATATTTCGATATGCACGAAATTTGGCATAGCGTAATTAATTATGTCCAAAATGATATGTGCTAAGCTTCTTGGATTCAGATTTACATATAACTCCCATATATATTTTCGTCCGATTTAATGTAAATTGTTAACCAAAGTCCCTATATATCTTCGATATGCACGAAATTTAGTATAGCGCACTGAATTAAGTCTAGAATGAGGTGTGTTAAGTTTCGTGAATATCGGTTCAGATTTAGATATAGCTCCCATATATATTTTTTCCGATTTAAGGTAAATATATATATTCCGTTCAATTTCATGTCAATGTTCTTTCGAAAAGGCGACGTCTGTTAGGAGACTAGGAGACTACTACCCAAATTGGTGAAGGTGAAGTAGGGTATAGGTTTTACTCCCAGTAGAAAGTGTCTTGCAGACAACATTAACGAATCGTGTAAGACAATGGCAATTCCTTGAAGACACTTTGCAGACAACAATGTGAAATCGTTGACGAAATTTTCACACAAGTGTCGCAGTATTCATGCACGACAACTTGGGCGACAGGGTAAGCGAAGTTGTCGTTGACGACAACTTCGGCGACTAATCTCCCCACTTTTCGTTAACGACAGATTCACTTCCTGTCGTTTACACATTCGTTGATGACTGTATACCCATTGTCATCAATCATACCCCATTAAAAATGCAAATAAAAATATACATACATACATATGTATACATTTTCAATTTATATTTTTGTAGCATGCAATTTATTATATAACAAGAATTATACATTGCATTTACGTTTATAATAATATAAATAAATACATTGCATGATAAGTTGTCGCGATGATTTTCTCCATTTTAACATCATCTGTAAAGAAACAACTACATTAAAACGCTTTAAAATATGAAACATCTTTCAGATATTACTTACAATATTTCACCAATTGTCATTTATTTGCCCCATCCTAAGAGTAAAACGGGCATGTTCTGGCATTCACTTCAACGCCAGAAGTGTATTGAACACACGCCGAGGTGTTCTGTAACACACTTTACACCCATTTGAGGTGTATTCTTTACACTTACATTTCCATAGTGAGAGTCGGGTGTATTCATGTTTTTTCATATAAAACAAAATCTTTTTTGAAATAAAAAACGCACATGATGATAGATCGATATGTTATTATTGCGTATAATTTGTTTAAAATCACAAAAAGGACATGAAACACCATTAAAAACAAATTTTAAATAGATACTAAGGTTTGTCTTGAATTTTCTTCAACTGAATTTCTTGCTTGACACAAACAGCTGATTTGAAGTAAGGCCGAAGAAGATAGGGTTACCAAATGTTCCCCTTAAATCAATCAACAAATTAATGATATTACAGAGGTTTCATACATATATTTTATGTTGCGAATAATAAAATATTAAAAAAATAATAATAAAATTGTCGTTAGAATTAACGAAATTACTAAAAAATTACAGAAACAATGTTAAAAACGAATACAGTTTATATTGTATGGCAACACTATTTCTGCAAAGTACCATGTCGACGTTTATTTTTGTCGCAGTTCAAAATTTCAATTCACGTGAGAAGCAGAACAGGAGGTAGCTTCTGAGGTGAAGTGTATGTGTAAAGTGAAAAGAACACACCGTGAGTTCCAGAACATACCCGAAAGAAAGCATTTAAGAAATGATACAAATAATTATATATTCACATAAGCTTACCTATTTTAACCGCGATTCTTAATTCTTATATATTTAAATTTAACCTAAATATCTTTATATTTTTTCAGAAACATTTTTCTCTTCGTTTCTGTCAATCGGGCATGTTCTGGCATTCACTTCAATGGCAGAAGTGTATCGAACACACGCCGAGGTGTTCTGTAACACACTTTACACCCATTTGAGGTGTATTCTTTACACTTACATTTCCATAGTGAGAGTCGGGTGTATTCATGTTTTTTCATATAAAAGAAAATCTTTTTTGAAATAAAAAACGCACATGATGATATGTTATTATTGCGTATAATTTGTTTAAAATCACAAATAGGACATGGAACACCATTAAAAACAAATTTTAAATAGATACTAAGGTTTGTCTTGAATTTTCTTCAACTGAATTTCTTGCTTGACACAAACAGCTGATTTGAAGTAAGGCCGAAGAAGATAGGGTTACCAAATGTTCCCCTTAAATCAATCAACAAATTAATGATTTTACAGAGGTTTCATACATATATTTTATGTTGCGAATAATAAAATATTAAAAAATAATAATAAAATTGTCGTTAGAATTAACGAAATTACTAAAAAATTATAGAAACAATGTTAAAAACGAATACAGTTTATATTGTATGGCAACACTATTTCTGCAAAGTACCATGTCGACGTTTATTTTTGTCGCAGTTCAAAGTTTAAATTCACGTGAGAAGCAGAACAGGAGGTAGCTTCTGAGGTGAAGTGTATGTGTAAAGTGAAAAGAACACACCGTGAGTTCCAGAACATACCCGAATATTTCATAGTACACTCGATTCAGACTATTTTTGTTTTGTTTTCATATTTCGAGAAGAACGACATTTTCGACGACATATCATGTGTTTACTCATGAATGACAATTCCATAAATTTCGTCAACGTTTCGTCAATGAAATTGTCACGCACGAGAGTATTTTCTACTTGGTCTGTCCCAATAGCTCAATCCTCAACAGTGATTTTAATTCCTAATTTCAGGTTTTCAGCTCTATCCGTTCACCCAAAATCCAAATTGTACTAAATTTATTAACATTTAGTAGTTTCGTATCCATAAGTACGAATTTCCTGAACTCCTCAATCCTACACTTCAACAGTCATTTTAATTCCCAATTTCAAGACTCCAGTTCTATCTGTACACCTAAATCCAACTTGTATCAAATTTTGTACTTTTAGTCCTCTACTCCAAAAGTAATCCTAATTCATATTTTCAGGACTCCATCTCTATACGCTTAAATAAATGTAAATATTACCAAATTTAGTACTTATCATACACATAAGTACTCAAAATTTCATGCTTCTAGCTTCAGCCGTTTCGTCTGGGCGATGATCTTACAGTCACTCACTCGCTTACCACTAAGCTCCTTTATATATTAAGGTTATATAAGGTATTCTCGATTTAATTTATTAACAAGCAATGGCCCTTAATCTGGGGTCTATGACGTTTAATCCGGATTAAGTCTTAATCCCTCAATGGCCCTTAATCCTGAGTCAATGACTTTTAATCCGGGGTTAATAACCCTTAATCCCCTCAGTGACCCTTAATTTCGCTTAAGCCTTAATCTCCTCAATGACCTTAATCCGGGGTCAATGACCCTTAATCCGGATTAAGCTTATATCTCCTCAGTGACCCTTAATCCGGGGTCAAAGACCCTTAATCCCCTCAATGACCCTTAATACCCTCAGTGACCCTTAATCCGGATTAAGCCTTAATCCCCTCCGTGACCCTTAATCCGGGGTCAATGACCTTTAATCCGGATTAAACCTTAATCCCCTCAGTGACCCTTAATCCGGGGTCAATGACCTTTAATCCGGATTAAACCTTAATCCCCTCAGTGACCCTAAATCCGGGGCCAATGACCTTTAATACGGGGTCAATGACCCATAATCCCCTTAGTGACCCTTAAGCCGAATTCAGCCGTAATTTCTCAGTGACCCTTAATCCCCTTAATGACCCTTAATCCG